CCATAAACAATTTCATTTTATGACCTATTAATCTACCACATGAATGGAATTGTATTAACACATTTTTTTAGACAGGGTCTCATGATGTAGCCCTGGTTGGCCTGTAACTTGCTATGTAGACCAGAAGCTGGTCTCACAAGAGAACTGCCTCTACTTCTCAAGTGCTGGAATTAAAAACAGGTGCCACCACGCCCAGTGTGCTCTATAACACACTTTTTAAAAATTTTTTTATTTGAATTAGAAACAAGATTATTTTACAAGTCAATCCCAAGTCCCTCTCCCCACCCCCACCCCCCGCAACTAACACCCTACCTATCCCATACCATTTCTGCTCCCCCGGAGGGTGAGGCCTTCCATAGGGGGTCTTCAGAGTCTGTCATAACCTTTGGGATAGGGCGTAGGCCCATCCCCATGTGTCTCAGGGAGTATCCCTCCATGTGGGATGGGCTCCCAAAGTCCATTCCTATGCTAGGGATAAGTACTGATCTACTACAAGGGGCCCCATAGATTTCCGAGATCCCCTCACCGACACTCACGTTTATGGGGTCTGTATCAGTCCCATGCTGGTTTCCCAGCTATCAGTCTGGGGACCAAGAGCTCTCCCTTGTTCAGGTCAGCTTATAACACACTTTTAACTGGAGTTATTCCTACTGCATTGATGGAACAGTTCAGGAAATTGGGGAAAACTAGGATGAATTAATTTATTATCATATATCTTTTGAACCCTTAATGTGTTTCTGGTAGTGTTTCTTTCCCGTGCTAAGGATACAGTAAGAGCCAGGTGAAGTCCTTGCACCCTTGATTGCATTGATAACTGCAATCAAGAACACAAGTGAACCGGTTGGTGCTGGCACACACTTGTAATCCCAGCTCTCAGGAGGTAGAGGCAGGCAGATCTCAGTTGAGTTCAAGGCCAGCCTGGCCAGGACAGCCACAGAGGTTACACAGAGAGACCCTGTCTCAAAAAACAAACAAACAAAAAAGTGAATTAATAATCTAGGTCACAGAAATATCCTGAAAGGAACAGAACAGGACAACAGGATAGAATGTGATTGGGATGAAAGAAAAGAGGCATGGTAATAGTAGAGCTGAGATTTAAATACTGAACAGTGCAGAAGAATCAAGTAGAGAGTGATAAGTAGAAAGGCCTTGAGAAGGGGGCCTGAAATACTGGAGTCAGAATGGAGTGACCAGGGATAGTTCATAGTAAACAAGAAGAGACAGGGAGCTGAAGATCAGAACTTGCTAAAATGCAGGCTGTTTCATGCAGCTGTTCATAAGCTGCAGGCTGGGTCTTCATTTTTAAGTATGAAAGGAAGAAGCTGTTACAAAGTTATATACACAGTGACACTGTAATCTGAATGTACTCTGCACTCTGGCTACAGTTTGATGAGTAGGTAGCAGAAGGGCAAAAATGGTTGTAGACAGAACTACCAAAAGGCTTTTTGTTGATACAGTGTCTGGGATTTGATTCACATTGGAGACAAAGTGAAGGAGATAAAGATAGAAAATTAATGGAGGGATACTGTTGTAGCCCTTATACAGCAAGGAGGGCCTAGGCCCTCCCCCAAACTATTTGACAGACCTTCACAGACTTTGAAGGTCCATGGTGGGGAACCTCACTATCCCTGGGAGGGTGGGAGGTCGAGGGAATGGGGGGTTGATATGTAAATATGAGTAGTAATTAAAGAAAAAAATATTTTCTGGAAATAAAAACATTCATATACCACAAAAAAAGAAAATTAGCAAAAAACTAAAGCTAGAATGTGATAAATATGGGCATTCATAAATTCTTCCTACTTTAAAAAAAGACTTATTTATTTATCTCTCTATTGTGTATGTGTGTATACGCGTACAAGTGTGTGCCTGTATATATGTGTATGCACCAAGTGTGTGCAAGTGCTTGAGGAAGCAAAAAGAGGTCAGTTCCCCTGGAACTGCAGTTACAGGCACTTGTGATCGGATTAATAAGGGTGTTGGGAACTAAACCTGACTCATCTGCAAAAACAGCAAAAACTTTTAACCCCTGAACCATCGCTCCAGCCTTCACACACACACACACACACACACACACACACACACACACACCTTTTCTGTACATTTAAAAGGTTCTGTATATTTAAAAGGTTCTGTTTTGTTCTGTTTGTTTGCTTATTTGTTTTGTTTTAATTTGTTTTAAGATTATGGAACTTACATTCCCCTGCCTCTGCCTCCTGAGTACTAGGATTAAAAGCATTCACCACCTTGCCGATCTAACTTACATTCACCTGCCTCTGCCTCCTGAGTACTAGGATTAAAAGCATTCACCACCTTGCCCATCCGTTTGAAAACTTTATTTAAAAGCTTTTTTTTTCTTCTTTAATTACTACTCATATTTCCATATCCATCCCCCCCATTCCCTCACTCTTCCTTCCTCCCAAGTTCCCCACCAACAACCCCCAACCCACCCCAAACTCCTCCCCAAGGATAGTGAGGCCTTCTACCAGGGACCTTCAAAGTCTGTCAAATCATTTGGGGGAGGGCCTAGGCCCTCCTTGCTGTATCTGGGCTACAATAGTATCCCTCCATAGGGAATGGGCTTATTTAAAAGCTTTTGTTACAAAATAAACACCCAGGTTGTCTTAGCACTTGTCTATAACACCAATACTGGAGAGGTAGTAGCAGGAAGAAGAGATCAAAGTCAAACAGAAAATTTCTTCTTTCTTTACCTAATTTTACTTTTTCACCATTATTCTAACAAATATTTTCTGGACAGCTACTGACTATGTATATACAAGTCAGTCTAGTAAGTTCTAGAAAAATGGTTGAAAAGTAATTGTAGTACAGTATAACACTGTCTTTCACTACTAAAGAACTGTTGGCTGGACATGACGGCTCACACCTTAATCCCAGTACTTGGGAAGTGGATACAAGAAGATCCATTCAGAGTTATCCTTGGCTACATAGCAAGTTCAAGGCCAGAATGGTTACATGAGACCCTATCACAAAAAATCAAGGGAATTGGCTAAGACCTAGTTATATCAGCAAAGGTGAATTTCTCAGTAAAAACACTTTTGTCAGCCAGGAACGATGACACAGAGGCTCTCCCACCTAGCTGCTGCTATCCCTACGCCGCCGAGATGGCAGCTGCCCGTGCCTGAGGCCTGTGGGCCTCCTACCACCGATTCATGGATAAAGTGGAGTTGCTGCCAGAGAAATTGAGGCCGCTATACAACCACCCAGCAGGTCCCAGAACAGTTGGGTTTTTTGTTTGTTTGTTTGTTTGTTTTTGTTTTTTTTTTCTGGGCTCCAATAATGAAATGGGGATTGGTGTGTGCTGGATTAGATGACATGGCCAGACCTGCAGAGAAACTCAGCACAGCTCAGTCTACCATGCTGATAGCTAAGGGTTTATTTGGTCAAGGTACTCACTTGTAATTATACCAAAAAAATCGGAGTTTGTTTGCTGTTAATTTCTTTGTGGGGTCAGCAAGAGCCTCTCAGCTCTTTTGTATATGGAGATATAATCAAGAACTCAAAGCTAAAGGAACCAAGTAAGAGTTCCTGATCACCTGAACAATCCAGATGTGGACAGAAACATTGGAATCTAGTTTATTTAATTATTGATAAGGTGATGATAACTGTTCTGATAACATTTGAAAATAATGAAAAAGAAATCTAACTGTAATTACTAGCTAGCACTTAACTCCAAGGAAAAATAAAGCAAACTTTTAATAACAAAAAAAAAACCCACCTTTATATGTGTGTTGGGGTTTTCTTTGCGGGGGGGGGGGGGGGGGGGGGTGTTTTTTTGTTTTTTGTTTTTGGGTTTTAAAAGCCCAGGTTCTTCTGGCTTCTCTGGGAGCA